TTCATTAGTTATCAGTGTAAGAGTGGATGCGGAGTTCTTTCGTGAGTGACGGTGCAATTAATGTATGATTATATTGATTAATTTTATAGTGGATTAACATTGGATACTGATTGCGTGTTTCCGTTCGGGGAAGGGAGTTTGTGCCGTCAATAGCAGGGGTTTTTGTGGTGGAAACTGTTAAGGTGCTACCTGATTGCTCTTTGCAACCATGCTTCCAATGGAAAGGCACTGATGAGTTTTATTTTTGCTAATTTCGCTACGCAGTTTTCCTATCGGCCAAGCTTTTTTTTGCGGAATTTACGGGAATCTTGGATGTAGCTTTCATCTCGTATTTATTTCATACTTGTTAAGGAAGGATAACAGCAAATTACTTTTAACACTACTGATGACTAACGGGTTTACCCCAAGTCTTCTAGTTCAGCATTGCAGTAGCGGTGCTGAGCTTTTCAAAAAAATGAATTTAACTCAAAAGAGTAGTAGATTAATGCAAACAGTTTCCTGTAGTTTTTGCGTAATGTGTTCTTGCTTGTTCGTGCTAGTCACTGGCTTCTGTTGATTTCCGGTCTTTATGGGCACTGCTGTTACTTGTTTGAATGGTCAGTTGTGCAAATACAAGTGCTAATCAAATAGTTTTATTCATAATCATGACTTTAATATGCAATGTGATGTGAGCAGTCATATTCAGCAGTCAAAGTAAAGCACCAATTGGGGTGTTGTAGAAAAGTATTTGTTGGAATTCATATTTGGCTTTCGAGGTACAAAGGTTGGCCTTAATCTCGGCTTTCCCCTATACACCTGACTACCGTACTCACCATCATAAACTAAGTACTACTAGATATTTTGGAACTATCGAGCGAACGAACTTATACAAACAGTTGGTCAAGAAAATTAACAGCGGAAATCTTCATGAATTCATGTCTTCGATCGGTGACCATGAAGGTAGGATTCCTGAAGATAAAAAAAAGCTTGAGGAGATTGTTCTCTTGGTATTTTAAGCATTCTCAACAAATTAAGCCGACGGCTAGGAAATCTTGAAATTTTTCGTATATGTAACAATGAATTTGTTTAGAAACTTGCAAAATTGAAAATTTTGAACCTCAAGGTTATCTTTGGGCAAAGAAGATGAGCCAAATGGCGTGAATCGCTCCTGGAAGGATACCCAGAATGTATAGAACAATATTGATCAAGAACTGGATTCCACATCCATCATGGAACAACACAGCTAAAGGCTGAAATGAGCTTCGTGGCAGATTTTTTAAACAGAGATCAGAGCTACCAACAAATTAAACTTCTGCAAAGTTCCAGCACCAAACATTGAGGCTAAAATTCCATATTTCACTCCCTTTTTCACTTTCTTCCCTTTCCTTCCCCAAGAATCGCAACATAAACAAGCCGTTTTTTCCAATGTTAAACAATGTCATGGATATCCATCTTCTGAAACTCACTTTTACGGCAACAAAGTAAATTAATAAGTGCAAATACGGCTTAGGAAGCTCGTTGAAAAGTCATATGTACACTTATATTACCTCCTGAATACTACTTGAAGGATCAAAAAATGACTTTTGCCGTTGAATAACTTACGGAAATAAAGATTGATAAAATTAGCAAGCATATGTCTCCGCACGTGATACCCATCGTTACTTTTAATCACTATCAATTTCCTTCTGCAAAATAAAATTTCAAAAAAAAAAAAATAATTTTTAATGCTAAAAAAAGACATTACGAGCAAAAAAACTAAATCTAACTTGGTAGTAAAATTTCGAATTGACACTTTCGACAACAATGGCGACAGCAACATCGCGACCAACATATATGTATATCAGAGAACTGATACAAAATGTTAAAAAAAAACCTCAGGGCAAAGACTAAGGCAAAAAGGTTGAAACTAAACTAAAAATAACAACTATTCTATTGACTCTAATCACTCATAACATCAAGCTGTCCCCACTGGAAAAGTCGATCAAAACTTGGATTTGTTTAGGCATTTTACACTGTAAAATAAATTGGAATAAAGAAGCATCAAATTACATGACAACAAAGGTTCACCATGGTTTGTCAGAGCACTTGAATTCAATTATTAATCGCAGTTGATAACCAAGAAACGTATCAGGACATTGAATAATACTCGTTCAGATAAGCCATAACTCAATTTCGAAGTGTCATAGAGGCTACAGATTCATAGAAGCGATAATCACTTTATGGAAGGCAAAAAAATCTAACTGTTTCTAGTTCTTCTGATACAAAAAAAAATTTGAATGGGAAACGTTTTCTTTCGTTCGTAAAAATTACAGTTATATGACGACAAAAACAGGAAACAGCTAAGTTGAACGTAATAAATAACTTTAGAGAAAGCATCAAAAAAATTGGAAGATAAGGGAAAGAGCTAAGCTACAAATGCAGTCGATGAATATCTTCCAGTCATCTTTGATGAATCTTACTTATCAGACTAAACTACATAAACGACTGTTACCGGAAATTTTCTTACAAATCAATTTTTGAAATTATTAAACAACAGCGAATAAATTGCATAAAGTTAATGTAATCATCAAAAATTTCGTTCCGCCATCAACAGTCACAGTAAACTCTTGTTCAACGATGATCAAAATAACGGTGTTTCTCACCTGTTTTCTTGTACTTAGCAAAATAAAAAGTAAATAGACCTTGCTTATTTTTATTTCTTTCTTTCCTTCATTCTTTCAAGCATTTATCGCGTTCTTTTGCGCCACAAATTTGTTTGCTACCTAAACAAACAAAAGAACTCAAGCTTTTTTTCGAAATCGCCTAACCCCCCTCCTCCACCCTCCAACAAATGACGGAATATTACTGTATTGGTTTTACATAATAAATGCTCATTAAAATTTGCCATTTAGATAATTAAAAAGCCACAAGCAAAACAATTAAATGGCAAACAAACTATACATTTTCAACAGTGAAGAAAGATGTCAACAAGTTTTAGAAAAACAAGAAAAAAAGCCAGCCAAAATAAAGAAATAACTTTGGAGAAAGCATCAAAAAATTGGAAGATAAGGGAAAGAGCTAAGCTACAAATGCAGTCGATGAATATCTTCCAGTCATCTTTGATGAATCTTACTTATCAGACTAAACTACATAAACGACTGTTACCGGAAATTTTCTTACAAATCAATTTTTTTATTGCTCCACTTATTGCCTCAGACTTCGTTTTTGCTTTTATTCTTTGCTATTCTTCTTTTGCTCAACCAAAAAAACTACAACAGGCCAGAGCGCAAAAGTAACAAGCCCTGTTTCCTTCCTAGTCCTAATTCCGCGGGGTATCAGTTTCTGAATTCTCATCATCAAATTTGCCCATCAACTATACGCAAAAACATCGCAACATGTAAAGAAAATAGCTGCAATGGAAAACTAAAGTTGCATTGTCGACATCCAACTCCCATTTTTATTTAACTTCCAATCGCAAATACACCCTTGAACTACAAACTGAATAGTTAGGGCCTATCTTCTCGCCTCTAAAACTTGCTCATTTAAAAAACCAGAGCAAAAAAAGAGCAAAAAAAAACTTTATTCAAGCCAACACTGACACTAAACCTGCAATCTGATTCAACAAGTTCGGTTGTCATCACAGTCGCCGTTACTGTCATCTGCAACAACAAAAAAACCCAACACTCCGGAAACACACCTAACAACAACAACAACAACAACAACAACAACAACAACAACAAAGTGCCGGTTAGCGATGGTGCAGTTTTACGATAGCATAAAACCCGAACAAACAGAGCAAAGAATATACATAAATACCGCCTCTATTTCTTCCAAAAAACCGAACGTACTGGAACGGAAATTTTGTTGGGGCAAAATGTTCACAACAAAAAGAAAAAAAAGCAGTTTTGCCCAATTTGTGACAAAAGCAGTCTGTCTTCTTCTCTTTTCTCCCTCTCTCTTCTCTTCACTCAATAACATCGACAGCATCACTATTACATTAAAAAATACTAAGCAAAGAAAAAAGAGACAACAGAAAACACATTCCTGCAAATAAAAATTAGCTTTTCAAAAGCAAACATCAAACATCATACATAGACATCCAGAAACAGAATAGATGCTTAAATGATGTGAGCAACTGACAGTTTAAATGCGCCAAATAATGGCGAAGAAGGAAGAAGCAGATGCAAGTCATAGTTGAAACAAGAAAAAAAGACTACCACTATCAAATACATGTCTGACGCGGCAAAGGAGAAAAATGATGGTAAGCCAGGCGTACAGTCCACGGTAACCACTGTCGAAACTATACGGAACTGCGGTGCAAAACAGCAGACTATATCAGTGAGAATGGTGAATTTGAGTGTTTGAGACAAGTCTAACCTCACCGACAGCCGAATGAGTCATAGGTGCTGACGCACCAAGGTGACATCATCCTAATCCACCGTGGCGTTAATCTTCGAATTTGAACAGCTTATAATCTGCTGTCGAAACATCAACTTATACCTGGCAAACAGAAAGCATTTCAACACTATGTAGAAATAGAGGAGAAAGCAGACAAGAATTTCATTTTGCCTCACTCATTTGGAAACTGTCAATAGCAAAAAAAAAAAAAAAAAA